ATAAAAATAAAAAACCAAAAACTTGGTTATTTGAATTTTTCACATAAATTTTGAGGTTATGTGAAAAAAGTGTAAATACAAATGTTGTAGATCTTTTTATTACCTACAACTTTGCCATTTAACTTTTTCCATAAGACTTGTAGTTTTTCCGGAAATCAAGATAAACCGTTTTTTACCCTTAAAAACTCACCCCCTTCCCCTTCCCGACCTCAGATCGCCCGTAAATTATTTTTCTTTTCATTTCTGTTATATTCTCTTCCTTTCCAATGGGTTTCATCCTACTATAATTTTTTTTCACTTTTTACCATTTTTGAAGGCTTAAGCACTGGTTTAAATACTTTTACACAAATGTTTGCAAACAGTCTTTATACATCTTTTTGTTCATTTACGGGCAAAAGTATGTAACTCTAGACTTGACTTTAGAATTATTCTTCTACTAATTTCTAGAACCCTTGTCTTTGAACATGGAACACCTTTTATGCGCACACGTAAATTTATTGCTTGCACTCTCTACCGTCTCTCTTCGCAATGGTCTTATTACCGAATACAGCCTTGTTAAGGTTGGCAATGCGCTATTGTCGCTGCATGCTACTTCTTTTGGTGGTACACCAGCTGGGTCATTCATTAATATATGAGCAACGTTCAGCCTTATTTACATGTTTATGGATGTTGTATTGGACTTTGGAGGACGGGAATATCCTGTTAGGGATTTGAAATATTTGCAATGACATTTAGCGGGCGAACGGCGTTTCGCGTTTTCGTAAAAAGAAACCTGAATCGTTAATAATTGCATTCTGCAAAGGTGAGACGTTATTTTTACCCATCTTTATAGGTGCGATAGTTTTCACGTATTTAAAATCAGAACTTTGAAATTTACATTTTTTTTTAGACGCCTTATCATTTAATCGGTGCCATGTTTACACTAAATTTAAATCATTTATACTCGAAAACGGGTAATTTTAAATAAAAAAAATGTAATTCACATATGGGAATTATCAAAAATTCCTTAGACTAATATTCTGAAAGTTTCAAAGTCTCGAAGTAAGACAGAATCGAGTGTACGGTATGTACATACAAACTTACCAGATCTTCTATAATTGAGTGAGCTCAGCTGGCTTTTTCACATTTCGAGTGACAAAATTAGTTTTTCCAAGGAAACGTTTTCAGTTCACAATTATATAAAAAGATTTTAATAAATTTCAAAGCGTACGCACTCACAGCGAAATTTTACCGTATATCTTTATTAATTGACGAAAATCAGGACCTAGCCGCTGTCAGACAAAAAGTACACACAAAAAAGCAAGTATCTCAAGATAAATTAAATAAAAAATCAAGCTTCAAAAGGCAACAAAACATTTAAATTTTAAACTAGAATATTTACGAACCAGATATGTTTACAAATGTTGAAAGTCGGCCTTTTTTAAGTCTGTGAATTTAGTGAATCTGGTAACACTGATGCAGTTGCCTATAAAAATGAGAGATTATCTGCAGAAATGTAGGTCTACGCATGCGTCAGCCAGCTGTTGCTGCCGTTTTTTTTACGATAAAACAAAACTGTTAATAAAATGAAAGCGAAATACTTAAGGATTAGGTTAAATAATTCAGCAAAGTGTATTGTTGTTTTTAAATGGTAAATTATGAAAAATAGGAATTAATATTTTTTCGCTCTATATGCTCTATACAGGGTGTAAGTAAATAAGTGCGAACAAATTCAGGAGGCGGTTCCCTATCGAAAATTAAGGTGGGTCTTTCATATATAAAAATCTCATTTGAAAAAAAAGTAGTTTTGAATTTTTTTCTTAAATACCAAAGAATTTTGTTGATTTTCCTATACGATTGGGAGGATTAGAAAAAGCCACCCCTAAGACTTGTTTCATAGGTACTTAATTTGATTTAATTTAATTTTAAGGTACTTACCATTTAAAAATTCATTTTAAACAAAAGAGGTCTCTTGTAAATTTTTCGCAAAGTTAACTATTTCTGAGCAAAAAATTTATTTATAATTATATGACTGGCAAAGGGTAGAAATTTTATCGAACTGTAGTTTACCTAGTAGGCGGTTCACATTGACATTTTGTAATGGCAACTTAATTGTTGTAATTATTGCAATAATTTTATTAAATATGTGAACAAATAAAGTTTAGTTTTTTAATACCTACCTAATTTATAATAGTTTTTTTTCGACATGAAATCTCCCCCTGAATTTTTTCGCAATTATTTATTTACACCCTGTATAAAAACACATTTTGAGCATATTAACAAAATTATTATTACTATTACTTTGTGTAATGTAAATAACTTGAATTAAAATGTATAAAAAATCAGGTGTATATTGTAAATATAAACTTAAATATACAGGGTACTTATTAAGTATTTGTACAAACTTTAAAGGGTGAATCTTTGACTAATTTTAAGATAAATAGTTCACGTGTACATGGGCTTGGTTCTTGAGATACAGAGCATCCAAAATAAAATTTTTGTTTCAGCAATGTAAATGTTATTAACTTATTTGTAGAAGTAGTTTAGTCTTAGTCTTGTAAATGCTCTAAGATTGTCACATCACAATGCAATCAAAAAAGACAAAATTTTTCACTTGTTTTTCAAAAACTCTTGATGATTCAACTCACAAAATTGCAACGCAAGTTTAATTGTAAACCCAGTTTTTTTACAAAACGGTTGGTTTCAGCGACAAATACTAAGTGTACCTTTTGTACGAAAATTTAAATGGAGAATAGGTATGTTTAATCAAAAATGACATACAGTGCGACACAAAAAAGTTATCGTTAT